AAATATCAAAGTTATCATTGACATTGTCTGAACACAACATTTTTACGAAATTTAATTAGTCGATTGCTGAGGAGCTGACTGCAATTTTGAATCGTGAATAACTTTTATAGGCTGAAATTAATATCTGGATGAGACTATCAAAGCCGCATATATTGTGTAAATGAAATGAGATATTTCCACGTTGAATGATGCCAGTTTTATTAGCATTTATCAGAACTTCATACCATTAATTGTACCGATTTCATGTTCATCACTGTAGCATGTATTGCATAAGGATAGCCTATATTTTTTCTTGGTGGCAGTATTACATTTGAAGTCTTTATTGGTTGATTGGCATTCCATTTAGTTGATGAAGTTGTTGTTTGATAGTTATTATCCACTCTTTTGTTGGGCGATAAATTGGGTTTATCTATAATTGGGTTTATCTATACTTTGGGTTTATCTATACTTTACCACTTTAGTCACTACGGATCCATTCGGAGGCATACTACCAATGGAATTGGTAGAAATGAAAAAAAAAAGAAAAATAACATATAAAGTAACGGTCACATGTCTTCTGTCGATTAGGCTCGGTCCCCTGCTTGTTTCTTTTCGCACAAAAATTTCGTAAATGAAAAACCCATAAAAATTTGTATTCCTCCTTTTAAATATACGGAACACATCAACATTTTTTTCAGTCCAAACTTACGCCAATGAATTATTAAAATCTTCTGAAAACTCGTCTCGCTGAAAATCCCCATGTTTAACCTGAAAATTTCATAATTTTGCACTTTTTCAAATCGAGTTTTTGGATTATCTGACAACTATTGCACCCATACCTACATTTCCTATTCACTGAAAGTTCAAAATTACCTTTGAACGTGGAATAAATTTTTTTTCTTCAACTTTTTTTTCTGGAAATCTTAAAATACCCGGGGCGGGGATTCTTTGACCGCGCGATCAATTACGTTCGGTGGAGAGCTGCGACCACTTAAGGGTTAAAAAAGATGCTGGACTTTTTGTGATTGTTTGCAGCCATTTTTAAATACATGACAAGGATTTCAAATTTTAAGTTCTGAAGGAAATTCTCAGAAATGCCGTTTTTTAGATGAATCGCTTCCCAAATTTCTCTGAATTGGATGAAAAATCTAATAATTATATTTCCACCTAAATTTCATCACGATATTCTATGATTTCTTGCATTGTCAGAGCCGTTGGAATAACTACTGCAGAATCCACCGAGAAAACCCCCCGAAAAAAACATTCTATGACTTCTGTTTATCTCGGAATCAAAGGATCGAGATCAAAGAATCAAATTTAAGGAAAAACATTGTGTGTGCAAAAACCTTAAAAAATCAAAGGACCCTCCTTCTCTCCGTGGAGAGCTGTAAAAAAAGCTTTTTACCTCTTTCTAGAAGTACTTTCGCAATATATCCCTTGTAATAACGCTCCCTTCCTTCTCCTCTGTGAGCGTTTAACGAGCGAGTGAAAGTTTTGTCGCGTCGCTACGCCCCGGCGTAAAGCGATTATGATGGATAACGTTTGTGTGTGTATACACGGAGGGAATGGAGTGTACAAGGAGAGCCGAGGTACAAAAAACACGTTGAAGAGGTGGATGGAAAAAAAATACACAAGAGGGTTTACACATGCAATGTAGGAGTCACCGCAAGAGGGTTTACTCCAACGTAGAAATTCTTGTGGTGAAAAAAAAGTGAGAGAGAGGAGTATAAAAATTCTCCAGAGTGACTTGATGGGCATGCGAGACTATAACATGTGGAGGGGGTGGTTTGCATGAGAAAGTCATACGGGAATACGTAAATAGGGCTAGCCCTTGCGTTCGCCGTTCTAGGTTTAGGGGGTCTATGTCCATGACCATTATACGATATAAAGATATATACCACTTTTTACCACCACCATTGCCCCAACCAGCCGTTTCACTCCATTCCAGTTGGTACGCTATGCCTCCCTATTTCCTCCCCACCCCCCTTTATCGCTCCCTCTTACCCCCTTTTGGGTTCGCACGTTATTGAGCGCTCGTCCAGCCGAGGCGAGACCCAACCCATCCACATCCTTCGTTATTTTCCTCTCCCCTTTTTGTCTCTTTTTCTCTTCTCGCATAGTCACATAGGTTTTTTCGTTGAATGAGAAAAAGAGGGGCGTAGGAGGGGTAGGTGAGAGGGATAGCTCCCGAGGAAAATGGAAAATTCAAGGGAAAAAGAGGAGGATAGAGACACAAAGAGAAAAACCACACCAAATACGTTCAACCGGTGGTAGGGAATGGGGAGAGGAGAAGGGGGTGATGCACCCTTTTATTCTTCGATTCAGCCCACGGCGACTCTATGCGAGATTTGTTTTAAAATCCTTTTACAATTCCAGTCGTTTGCGTGTACCGCACCCCCAGCAGCTACGAAACCCTGTGTAGATTGCGTGCAAAGAGGCAGTTGTCTCACTCAGTTCTGTGCATTCCCGGTTGGCCATTGGACAGAATTCCATGGGGTAATCCCGATATTCGTTGGCTCTATTTTACATTTTACCTATGTGATTCTATTGGTGGAGACAGGTAAGAGAAAATGAGAAAGAGTTGATTTGCTAGAAAAACGGGAAAACTAGCGGGGGCTTTTTTATTCCTTCTGGTGTAAAAGAATTATCTGGAAATCTGAATGTAGGTTTTGAAAATAAAAGGATTAGTTCTGAAAATTGGAGCATTTCATTTTCTGTCGACGCCATTTTGAAATTCATCTTTTAATCGTTTGTGGGAAACAGTTTTTTTTTATTATTTGGATTAGCTCTGGTTCTATTGAAGAGCCAAAGAGTTTCCTTTAACTTTCGTTATATGGAAAATTGAAATCTGAATGAAACCACTGCAATTTGGCACCGTACAGATACACCGGAAAGCATTTGGAGGAAAATTGTAAAGTGAATTCCGTTATTCCCCGGTTTGTGAGATTTTTTCAAAGTTAAATAAATGATAATGGAACAGAAAGAAAATTATTCACATCCGGCGCATTAGTGTTTTCATAGGTTCTCTCATATTCTGGGTGTAGACTTATATACCACTGGGGAATGAGAAGTTCTCCATGTTGGATGTAAGCCCTCGTCCAAAGCTCACATGGGACTTTCTCCCCAGGTAGTGGAATGTAGTTGATTTTATAATGACCCACCTGTTTTACATTCGACAAATCCCGCCACTGCAATTTGATAGGGGACGGCATTCCATCAAGAGGTTTATCGTGTTGTGGAATGAATGCATAGGTGTAAATAGAGAGTGGGCGATGATGATTTTCGAGTCATGAATGACGAGATTAACTGTTTCTATGTCGTAGTAATCCACTCGAAAGTTACAAAATTATACGCGAATGAATGAATGGGTTATTTCCGCCATTTTGGTGAGGATGAGAGCGTGTAGTAGCAGGTTAGGGGAAAATGGAGTGCAAGTGGGGAGGCGGATTCATTGAGTCAAGTGTTTAAAGTGAGTCAAACAGTCCAGAATTGATTTGAACTTTTTTGACTTGAGTCAAGTTTTTGTTTTCAATTGAGATAAACCATTTTGAATTGCGTTAAGGAAGTACCAAGGTGAAACGTAGAAATCTTCGGGTGATGAGAATAGCCACTAGCAACTTTTGGTACATCATGGAGTACCTGTAAAGTAAGCAAAATTGTAGACCCCTACAATTCCTCGCCTAGCCCTTTCGTCCTTTGGGCGAGATAAAACATCGTTGGGCGTATTTTTGACTTTGAAATGCTTCTTGCACCACAATGTTCATCCAATATGAACTTTTTTTTCAATATTCGTTAGATTTCATAGAATAAAACTTTTTTTTTATTATGTCAAATAGATCATGAGAAAATTATGAATGACAGTTTACTCATTTTTTTACGTTTTTGCAAATCGTATATAAAAATCATTGTTTTGTATAGTTGAACACTGAAACAGTAAATAAAAGGTGTTTAATACTGAAAAATAATGTCGTTGATAAAAAATCAACTATTCAAACAATGATTTTTATGTGGTATGCAAAAATTAAAAAAATCATTGAAGCGAAAAATTCAAATTTTTTATGAGTTATTTGAGATGGTAAAAAAGAATACCTAGTTTTATTATATGGAATTTGATGAGTATTTAAAAAAAGATTTCAAATGGAATGAAAATTGTGGTGCGCAGAGTAGGTATTTCGAAGTCAAAAACACGAAAAACGACGATTTACCTGGGTTTTACCTGGGTTGGGCTCAATTTTTTTCACGTTTTTCTGTACTTTATTATACAGGGTGTCCCATCTGAAAAGATGCGATAATATCTCTCAAGGGGGGCGGGTAACAAAAAAATGTTTCATACAAAAATTGTAGGGTTTCGAGGGGGACATCCTATGTTGTCGTTATTTTGAGCTTTCGAGCTCACGCTTGCAAGCTGCAAGCACAAAGTGCTTTTTTCAAATGACAACCGCATTTTTTACTCCAATGAAACTTGTTCATCTTGATGAGTCGTTTTCAGAAACGTCGTCATTCATTTAATTTCATCTCATTTTACTTGAAAAATGCCATAAAAATGAGTTCTGTGGTCGAATTCAAGATTCAAACATCACGATGTATTCAGCCAGTGAAATTGTCGATATTTTACTTGTTTTAAGAGAGTGTAGGGGAGTGTATCGAGCCGCTGCTCGACCATATCGAGAACGGTACATGTTTCACGTGGTGCATCCTGGGTCACGCAAAATAAGCCTGAATGTTTAATTTGGCCACAAAACTCTTTTTATGGCATTTTTCGAGTAAAATGTGATGAAATTAAATGAATGACGAGGTTTCTGAAAACAACTCATCAAGATGAACAAGTTCCATTGGGGTAAAAAATGCGATTGCCATTTGAAAAAGAGCACTGTGCTTGCAGGGTGATCGACCGCTGAAGGGTTAAACGCTCGCATAATATCTCAATCAAAGCTCAACGACTTATTTCGAGTTGTCTTCGAAATGACGCTGTCATCATGCTAGGCATAATTGGAATAAAATAGTAAATTATGGCAACTTACCAGTGGCTGTGGAGGTAGTTGGCTGATAAGGCGTTGCTCCTGGTCCAGTGGGTTGCCCTCCCGGTGTACTTGGAGTACCTCCATGAGACGTGGGTATGCCTCGATGAGGTTGTGAGTGTGCTGTTGTCGTATGAGCGTGTGAGTACGACTGCGTTAGACTATGCAGTGGTTCGTGAAACACATAAGCTGGATAACCTTCAGCCCGTTGCTGAAGACAACTGCTCCCCATTGACCCACCCAGACTACTCGTCATCGAACTACAATGATCATCAAAATGGCGTCTGAATGGGATCATAATTGTCAATATCCCATGATTAAAACTCTTCCAACATTAATCATGACGCATTACAAAACAAGCTCACCTATAAGTATCTGGCATTGTTGCAATCGGCTGTGGTATAGACGAATACATAGCATTGAAACCGGCATTCAACGGTATCCTAGGTGTCGCCGGTGTCACTGCAGGTGGCGCCGCACCATTACCTCCTCCTCCTCCGCCGCCGCCAACCACTTGATCCACAGCGGCGCGCCGTTGATTTCGTAACTTTTCCTCTCGTCGCCACTTAGCCCGACGATTACTGAACCAAACCTACAAAATCAGAAGCACTTCAGTAAGCCAAATGTCAAACTCAAGCTAACAGTCACATTGCATACACTCACGAGTCACACTCTCAACTTTTTCAACAACCATACTCGCGAAATTTCAGAGAGAAGAGGGAACAGGTATCAACTTTTTCCCTAATTGTCACGTCAAGTGGTAACATCCAATTTCGGTCAGACTTGAGCATAAGTAGGTAAATATCATATTCCAAGATCATTCAAGGTTTCCAAGAACTTCATAAGCAAGGTGGAGCAGAGAAGAGATCTAAAAAATCCTAACCTCTTGCCATTATCACCGCCGGGTATTTCCCCCCCCCCTCCTCCGTCACATCCCCAGATAATCGTCGTTCACCCCAGTAAGAAACCGAAGGGATACAGAAGAATTTCCCCGGTATAAAACGTATGGTGGTGAATCGGCAAGTAGTTATACACAGGGAGGTATAAAAGCGGCAACGGCCAATCAGAGGGCAACCTCCCCGGGGACGCGCCGTTGCCATGGTTGCGTCCAAACCCTCTTAGGCTTTTGTACCTCTCCTCTTCACCCCCATTCATCCCCTTTCACTCAGCCGTCCATCTCCCATAGTTTTCATATACTACCTATCTTGTCTCACGTTTTCCCTCCGTCGGACAGACAGGACCAGAACAATCCCTCCCCACCCACCCCCTCGCGCCATCCCACTTACTGTTATTGGTTACGATAGTAAACAAGTTATAGATAGTATTAGCTAGAACACCGGATGTACTCCAATAACTGTACATAACTATCATCACGACTGGGTGTGAACTATCCACACCGGTATTCATCAGGTTTCCAGGCATGCGTCTCAACCAAAACTCAAGTCTTGTTCATCGTGGTTTGTTCCGTTCTCCTGCCATACACCCCTCTTGGGCTCTCCTTGCTCTACGCCTCGTGTCTGTGTCTCGTCCATTCAACCCTCTCACTTCCACTCTCACACTGGTTCCTCCCGGTTTTCTGCACTTAGCAAGATCAATACCAGTCAACGAGGCTTGAAAACATGCGTCAACATGGTCTTGCACTGTTTGTACGTCCACATAACGCTTTCCAACCCCTTTCCCTGCCTCCCCACTGCTTTTCCACAACCCCCCACTGGCTCTTCCTATCCTCTTTTACCGTTCCTCCCTTCTTTCTACCTCCCTTTTCTGTCTGCTCTCGTTCTTGGTCTAACCGGCGTGAACAAGGGGGGCTGCACGAGGGCAACACCGAGGCTACGGGCGATGGAGAGAGTGAAACGTTATTGGTGCAAACAATGTACAACAAGGCTGGGCACATATTAGTTTTGGTATATGCTATGCCCTTGTGGAAATTTGCCCATTTGACCTTATGGATTAATTGAAATCATTATGGTAACGTGTAATGTGTAGTGGAGGTTTGTTTGACTTATCTTTCATTTGTTGGCTCGGTTTTTTGCGGCGAGGGGGAGTGAGAGGAGAGAAATCTGACCTTGGGATAAAGATGGGTGAGAGGGTAGGAAATTGAGAACGATAGGGGGGCGGAGAATGCAAATGATTTCAATGGAATGGATTTGATTGAGATCAATTCTGGAATATCGAATATGAAGATGACGGTTCAGGAGAATTTTATTTTGACGACATGACGTTGTAGGAGGGCGTTTCCATAGAGAGGTGTAGCTATCGAGGAAAGAGGGTGAAAGTGATTGGGGAAGGGACATAATTAGTATGATCCAAATAAGATTTTGAAACATATGCGTTGTTTGCAAACGTGTCTTTCTCATTGAATAGGAGAAGATGGAGTAAAATGAACTTTTGACTTTAGTTGAAATATTCATACCCTAAGAGAAAAATTGCCTAATATAAAGACTACATTTCCTTGAGAGAAGTAAATTATTTTCAATGGTTTAAATCTCAGAATGTTTGCGTTTCATGGAACTCGAATAATTTCTCTTTCATTTCTCATTTTTTTCACTATCGTTCTGCGTTACATCATGAATATATTACATATCGATACCTTGGAAGTGCATACAAGAAAATCCTGAAAACAATAAATACTTGAGATTGACGATTCTTCTACACGATTTGAGTGAGTTCATTTGCGACAAAATCATACTTGAGTACAAGAATATTTTAAAACCTGAGACCTCTCTTGAAAAGTGGGATAAAAGCTACCCAGAAAATCGTGGCAAATTTTACTGTACGAAAGATAATCGTGGAGCGAAATGTAATTCAAGGAAAAATAACTGCTTATTGTAGGGGACATTTTATGATTTGTTTGGTAAAAAACATATGTGCGGATTCAAAAATTAACATCCTGTACAGTAGAGTTTTCCACAGCGGAAGGGTATTTTTTGTCTTGCACCCATTTGAAGGTCATGGAGGTGAAATTTTACCGAACGCGGTGGGTAAAAAAAAACATTCACGTTCACTCGAATACTTTTTGATGGAATGCTGGATGAATTTCACAGTTTCGGCACCAATTACCTTCACGTTTAGTAAATTTTCTCGAGCCAACGGAGAAAATTTCTCTATTCGTCTCGCACTTTTTCCTTGATATAGGGTAAAACGGTACTGAAAGTTGAGTTCGCTCCACGATTACTTGACTTGTTCGCTAAGTTTTCTTCAACTGTTTTCTCCGTGCATGTGAGTTGAGATGCCTGCGAGGAAAGTTTAAGGTATCCATATTACCCCAACTTCCCCTAAATAATGAAAATTATAAAAATTTACAAACAACTCATTGTTTGTGAGAAACTGATTTCTGAAAATTTTAAGTCTACATGAATTTATAATGAATTTATTGTTTATTAATTACTTCAGAGAAAAGGTCAAAACAGAAAATCATTAAAATGGAAGCTGTGACATATAACATTCAATACTAAGGACGGTTTTCTGCCTAAAAGAACAGTCGAAGTGGTTGGCCATATCGGTAAGTCGGTTTTCCCGAAGATATTTGTTGTCAAAAATAAAAATCAAACAATACGAAAAGAATCATTTCCATAACTACATGTTTATTACATTGTAAACATCCTGAGAATGACTGAATTTGGAAAAATTTACTAAAAGATTGTTTTTGTAGTCAGCAAAACGTTCGACCCGGTCGAAAGTGGATTCTTACCAAACCACTCATGCTTGAGGTATTCACATCGTAATGAAGATGTGTAATTGAAGATGTATAATTTTAATGAAGATGTATAATTTTAGCTTCATTCATCACTCCATTACTGAATTGATTGTTGGAGTCTCATTACTCTCTTTTAAGTATTTGACTTTTTCAACCTTGAGGTAGTCCTTGTCTACAGGAGAATTAATGAGAGAAGGAACGAGGATGAGGCATACAAGAAAAGTTTTGAAGGCACGCTGTTTTCACACACTCACGGCACATTCACACTCACCTGGATACGTGCCTCAGGCAATCCAATCTTCTCGGCGAGACGCTCCCGTGCAAACACGTCCGGATAATGTGTCCTCTCGAATTCTGAAAAAAAAGAGATAAGAAAGACGGATTGATACAGACAGACTGCAACAAGTGGTGACTCATTAGGGGTGAATTTTTAACGAATCGAATGAATGTTGTTTTCGAAATAGTGGAACGAATTTTTCGGATTGAGTTGAGGGTGAATTTATTCAAAAGATTTACCTTTTTCCAGGGCATCTATCTGTTCATTGGAGAATGACGTGCGATTGCGCTGGAGTTTGCGTTTCAGCCTCAGTCGTACTTGCGAGTCCTCATCTCCGGATGAATTGTGTTCAGAATTACCGTCCGAAGTTGTCTCCTGTTGATGGGACAATAGAGATCCAGCATCTGTTAAACAAAAAGGGAGGAACTATTCAGTAAAATGCGTTTTTGTGGAATGTAATTTAGTTTCGGGAGTTTTCGAGCTGTTTCAATGGTCTTTTGCTTCCGAACTGCAAGCATTAACATCGTTTAATTTTCACATTTTCTAATTTTGCTTCCACTGATAGAAAAGATTAGTTATTGCTAACCAATGGATTAGGTTGGAGGCTAGGGTCTATTTGGTCTCATCAATTGATCATTCGTTAATAGTTAACGAGAGGCTACTCACTCCATAATTCAGTGACACCATGATTTCGAAATAAAGTCGATTTCGGGTGATTTCAGCGATGATTTGAGCGATTTTGGAAGAAAAGATTTCGGTGATTTCGAGCTTCACGGCAGGTGATCTCATGATTTCGAGTGATTTCATTAATTCGAAATCAGTGATTTCAGAAAAATAAAGGTAATAAATAATAGAGGTGGGACAAAACGAGTTGTATCAAATTATGAAAATCAAAACTGGAAAATAATAACGAATTCGTTTGATTCCACTTCGCCAATCTTCAGCTAACTACGATGAAAAGCGGTCCATTTTCCCATTTTACTACGGCAATGAGTACGGAATTTTATTATCATTGTTGGCGGGGGTGTCAATTTCAAAATCATGAATTACTTGCACGGTTCGCACTACGCTGGCGCCCACGTAGGAAATGCCAGTGTTGGAGAAACGGCCAAGCCTGGCACAAGCCTGGGCTTGCCAAGTCTGGGCGCCCAGGCTTGGACCGAGGTTCGGCCATCCCTGGGGATCAGGGCGTGAGTCTCGGGGGAAGGGCGGGTAAGCGAGCCTTGGTTGACAGATCTGGCCCAGCCTTGGCCGGACATTGGCATGCCGGACCTCGATAACCAATCTTCAGTCAGCGGTGGCCCGGACCTTGGTCATTGGGCTCCAGCCGTTGGTGTAATTGTAAGGGTTAAGTCGTAAGGGTGAGATGATGAGAATGGAATCATAGGGGTGGAATCATAAGGGTAAAATCTGAAGAGTAAAATTGTAAGGGTCAAATCGCAATAATGGAAAGGGGCGAAAAAATCATAAGACTGACATTCTGAGGGTTGAATGGTAAGGGTGGAAACTTGAGGGTAAAATATTAAGGGTGTAATCGTAAAAAAATGGTGACATTGTAGGTGTTGAAGTCACATGTTACTCGCTAATTATTACGAAAAGAAGAAGAATGGTCATTCAACAGTAATCCTAATTGTTATAATTATTATTGTAATTAATAATAATAATTATTATTATTCATTATTGAATTAATTTACCGATTAAACTGTAGTTGAATCACTTAATATTTCTATCAACTGAATAATAAAACATTCAAGTCGAAAAAAACCGAGATGGAATTAATATGGAAGATTTGAAGTAGAGGTTTTACGAATTGCGCGGTAGACTAGTGGTTAGGGCGTCGGATTAGTAGTCGTGAGGTCGTGGGTTCGAGCCCACGTTAGGGGGTAATATTTTAAGTTAACAAAATCGGTTTTTCAGCGATGATTGCGTTAGGGTTTGGTAGGTAGGGCACAATCAATACTAAAAATCATCCTAAAAAATGTTAATTATTTTGTTTTTGTTATTATTGATAATTGCCATGAACAGTTTGGCAGCCAGTGCGGCACCAGTCGCATGCCGGTATTGATTTTTTTTCCTCGTTGAACCTATTACGAATGCTGAGGAGTAATATTAAATTACTTGTATTTCAATCACCCATATTATCATATTCATGTAATTAAGTAATGTTTAATTGAGCCTGGCCAACGACTGGCAATCAACGCTGGGCCGAGATGGGCGCCCAGACCTGGCCCGATGTTATCATTCCAGGTTTCAATCAAGTCCGGCGCGGTCCCGGTTGAGGAACGAGTCCTGAAGTTCGGCAGGCCGGCCACCGGGCTTGGGCCAAGCTCGGCCCATTCGTTTTTTCTTACGTGGGAGCGCCCCACTGATTTCGGTGATTTCATTGATTTCAGACGATTTCACGTGATTTCGGAGATGATTTCGAAAATGATTTCGGAGAGCTGAAATCGCTTGATTTCAGTGATTTCGGAGTGATTTCGGAATGATTTCATGCCATAGTGGCACCGTGATTTCGGGAGTGAGTAGCCCCTCGATAGTTAACAAATACATATTTGAGGAGCCTTGTTTGACGGGGCTTTCATTTTTTAAGTGAACCATTCGTTAACTATCAACGAATATTTATTTGGTCATATTCAACTCTACCATTCGTTAATTGGACTTTTCATCTTATTTGGTATTGATTCTGACGAACTCTGTACAAAATTTCAGATCAATTGGTTCATAAATTTTTCGCGTTTAAATAGTTTTTCACACATATCTGGAAAACTTTCCAACCGATTTTAATAATTTGTTATCTCTTCATATTCAATCAAATGAATATTTTCAATGAAAAAAGAAGGGTTGTAAAGAGAAGATAACTTATGGAAGAGAGTAACATAAGAGAGTACCCGAATTATTACATGTAATGTATTTTATGTATAGTATATTCCGCATAAAAATATTCATGCTTTTTAGATAAAACAAAAATCCAAATTTCAAATTCATTTTTAGTATTTATGAAATCCAGTATTTATGAAACAATAAGAGGGAAGGACCAATCTAGTGAAATGCGTTTCTGTTGAGCGTAATTCAGTTTTGAAAGTTTTTCAAAATAAAAAAAAGGTGAAAAAAGAAGAGCAATTACTCAATTGGAAAGGAAATAACCAAGTTACATGGAACATTTTTTGATGCACTGATGGGAATTTTTAGCTCGAATTTCATGTGAAAATCCTTCTCGTTCTCTACTTCCAAAATAAATTGGAGATTTAATGGTCTATTCTGTAATGAAATAATCAGAACAGATGAGTTAGAAAATTACTTTAAATTTTTTGGTAAATCTCTCCCCGAAACGGGTAGCCTTAGAGTATAAAATTCCGTAGCCTAAATTTTTTTACAACAAAGACTTGTTGGTATTCCTCGATGAGATCAACCGCCAGCTAGAGAAAATGCTTCAACCTAAGTCTATTTGGAGATAGATTGACGGAAGAATGGCAGCAAACATTTTATATCCATCAAATGTCCTACGAAACGCCTTTTCTCCTCTCGCCCCTCTCCCAAAAATACTTAATATTTAAGCTAGAAAGTTCCGTAATAAGTAGTTCATTCCATTGTTCATATCAATGGTCATAAACGTTGATTACATCAAGGTATTTCTTTGCTCATTGTTTGAGATTTTAGAAACAGGCAGTTTATGATTTCTTTTATACTTTTTCAGAACATGAAAAAGTTAAAATTTTTATCGAAATTTCGCAACTATAAAAAATTAAACAAACACCGCGCAAAGTCAAATTCAATAAAAAGGGTGAGTCGGAACTAAAATTGTACGAATCGTCACGTAAACTCTATGATTTGTTCCGTAAAAATTAACCATCCGTCTGATGACTCACCCCTGTAGGAAGAACAAGTCGTTCCGTAATTTTTCCCAAACGATTGAGACATTTTATGGAACGGAACGTAGAAATAACTCACCAGCTTCATAAAAATTGTTGAACGTTCAAGAATTTTTCATTTTGGAGGCATAATAAGTCGGGAAGTTTCTGTAAGATTTTACTTCTTCGGGAAAAATTACGTGACAATTTCATATTTTGTTCGGTGGTGAACCTAAAAATTCACTGAACGTTTTAGATTTCTTCTCTTCCATTCCTATAAAAATTTCCGGAAAATGATTTCCTACCGCGGATTACGTAAATTGTTCCGTAATTTTTACTGAATATTTCTGTTCGTGAAGTTATTATGTATATTTCTCCAATTTTTCCCTTGATTTTCAACGAAAGAATATGTATAAGAACCGCGAAAATTTGCGATCACAGGGAAGCATCGACGAATATTCGGAATGCAAAACAAGGCATTCGAGGTATCAAGAAATTGTTCAATAGTGTGCGTTCACATATACAGCACATGGCTGTCAACCGCCCCGGCGAGGGCCAGCGATTATCTTCCGCCTCTGCGCACCGAGGCGCAGTACGAGGCGCGGTACGGGTTTGCTCTCGCTTCCATCCCGTTTGCATCTCTCCCACCCCACAACCCCGCAGTCGCTCCTTCATTTCTCCCTTGTCCGCTCCAGCATTCCATGCGGCCGTCAGCTGTTCGCTTTCTCGCTTGCCCGCCCTCTAACTGGACGACGCACTCCCTTCTCCCACGAGCTCATCTCCCGCCATTTCAAAATCCTCTTCACGAAATACCAGCACCCTCCTCAGAGATTCGACACCAACACACAAACGCAACGGCCACGTCTTTAAATTAGTGTTCGAATTTGCTAGTGGTGATGATGCTCAACCCGTCCAACTCCCCCCCAACCCTCTCCCAGGCACTGCCCATTCTACGGTATAACTACCAAAACTAGTTGGATCATAGGATCTCCTGATTGCAATTCATCCGATTGCACTCGATTCCGTTCCGGCGCGCTTTCCTATACTGCTTCAACTCCTCTCTGTATACGACGCGTCAACATGTTGTACTCTTTGATGATGAAAATTTGACAGTGATTGGTACAATTTGATTGGAATTTTGTTATTCGCAAATAGCAGTTTATCGGATTATTCTAATCGGTTGAAATGATGTTGGTCAGTTTTTGCGAGGAGGTAGTAATGAGAAGAGCTTTGTTTTGAAATCGAAATAGCGAAAGAAGATGAAAACGCATAATTTAGGAAAAGAATATGCATGGCATATTTTTCATTATAGATAAAAAATGTAGTCGCGAAATTTGATTAAAATAAAGAATGAGGGAACCTTTAAGTTTAGGTTTCTCGGTCATATAAATGGGCTTGAGAAATTTAGAACGAAACTCCTTTAAATATGTGGAGCTAAGGATGAGACTTTCAGCCCAATCCAAAATGCAGTTCAGAACCTTGACTTGCCATTCTTCGGAAATACTCAATCCAAGTTCATGAAGAAACTTCACAGAGAAAAAAAGTGGATAAGTTTT